TTTGAGTACCAAGTTTGAGTGTTACTGATCGGCTTCCATAATGCCCCTGTGTTACGGCCCTCTCGGGTCGCAACTGGGTTCGTACTCTGATGTTATTAGAGGAAGGGTATCCGGCCCCAAGCCAGTAGTGGCTTTCAAGGGATGAGATCCGTGACACAAGTAAAATAAAAGGGGAAGGGAAAGAAAGGCAAAAGCTTAAGATTATAATTAATACTTTCACCAATAAATAATATATAAAAGTTACACAGGGGGAGGGGTATTAACACTTATTTACACTGACGTCTTCTTCTGAAGACTCTGGATCCTCTCGGTGCCAAGTTCCTCGGTACTCTCGTGGTCTCTTGACGAATCCTTCGATCAAGCTGAGTCTACCCCTGACACAGGCCAGCCAAAACACAGTTCCACTGGGGGCACCGCCGTGGAGGCCGTCAACCACAAGTCCAGCAAAACAGCTGGCAGGTTCCGGATCAGCAACGCTGGTCGGGCCACTCCACGAGCGATACTAGGGTAACGCCCTAGTCAGGAGCCTCGTGTGATACCACAGATCACTCTCCTGTCTACAATACCCCAGTGGTTAATCGTCTCCAGCAGTCGGTCCCGGGTACGACAATCCTTCACTGCCGCTTCACAGGCAGGGTAACACCACAGTGTTCCTCCGGGAGGCGACTCACAGCTGCTGTAGCAAAGCACTTGGTATGGGGACGGCTGCCTTGGGTAGACTCACTCAACTTCCATCACAGCAGTCCCAGGTCGACTCTGTAAGCAGACACGTCATCAATAACTGGGACACACTAAAGCACCTCACTTACAGGCTCAGACACAAACGCCTGACGTATCCACTCCATAGATGGCGCTGTTGTCTGAGCACCACCTCACCAGAGGTCAGCAGCGGCTGTGTTGTGAGCTGAACCGGACTGGAAACTGGCCCTTGTGGCCGGTACACTTCGTCCTTGCCAGGTGTCGTCGTCCATTTGGAAGGGGTTTCGGGAGCTGACCCACAGATGGCGCGGTCGTCACTGCTCCGTGCTCGGACGCTGGATCCGGGTCCGTAACACCCTGCCATATTCCGGAGCCTAATGAACTCTCTGTTCGCTAATGTGCCAAATTGTCGGGCATATTTAGATGACATTGTGTTGTTTGATAGTAATTGGACTGACCACATAGCTAGGTTACGCCAATTGTTCACAGTTCTGAAAAGTGCAAACTTAACTCCAAATGCAAAAAAGTGTCATTTTGGCCAAGGCACAGTGACATACCTTGGTTATGAAGTGGGTCAAAGAAAAGTGTTACCTCGGCAACATAAAATCAGTGCCATTCTTGAGTATCCAGTGCTCCGGTCTAAAAAGGACATTCAAAGGTTTATCGGTATGTGTGCGTACTATTGACGCTTTTGTCAGAACTTTTCCAGTGTTGCCACTTCTCTCACAGACTTGTTGCAGAAGGCCATTAAGGGGGCATATTCATGTAAAATTAAAAGTGGTTCAATTTGCTTATAAATTTTTTTATGAAATAGTTATAGAAAGGGCTGCAGCTGGTCCAAGTTTCATCATCACACCCTAAACAGAAAAGGAGAAAAGAAATAAACAACGAATTATGCAACGAATTTTCAAATAGTTTCAGGGAACACATGTGTCAACTAAAATCATTTCTATAACACTCAGATATTAAATTTAGCACATAATAAAGGATTCTAGTGATCAGTTTTATCAAAAAAGTGTTTAGTGCAATAATATAATTTTTCAAAGTTACCCTACTAAAAAAATATGCAATATATGATATTTATAAATTTTTATAAAATCAACACATAGACTTTGGACTAAAATGTCTACTAGAGTCTGTAGAAGCACAAACTCTACATATAAGGTGTAATTTGCATGTAAATTGATTAATAAATGAAAGCTCTGAAGTAATTTGAAGGTGTAAATTACTTTCCAGAGTAAAATAAAGATCCAAGTTCGGCCACCTGTAGCTGAGCTTGACTTCGACAGATTTCGTTCATAATTGGCACCCTTGCAGATAGGCATCCAATGAGCAAGGTGTGCAAGTTTCATGCAAATCCCTTGATAACAAACTAGAAAAAAAAACTGGACAAAAAAAAAAGAAAAAAAAAGAAAAAGAAAAAAAAAATTTAAATATAAATATATTGAACATACATATTACAATTATTACAAGAGTTTGTGCTTCTACAGGACATAGTAGACATTTTAGTTGACACATGTGTTCCCTGAGATTATTTGAGAATGTTGAACATTCGTTGCATAATACGTTGTGTATTTTTTTTTCTCCTTTTCTGTTTAGGGTGTGATGGTGAAACTTGGACCAGTTGCAGCCCTTCCTATAACCATTTCATAAAAAAATTTATAAGCAAATTGAACAATTTTAATTTATAACGATATTTTTTTATATGCCCCCTTAAATTTAAGTGGTCAACAGACTGCAGAGGCATTTAGAAACTTGAAATTGATCTTAGCTTTTGCCCCAGTGCTCGCTAGTCCAGGGTTCGACCGATCGTTTAAAATTCATGTTGACGCATCTGACTCGGGTGCTGGTGCAGTGTTGTTGCAAAATGGGGATTATCAAGTGGACCACCCAGTATACTATTACTCTGTGAAATTTGACAATGCGCAACACAATTATTCAGTGGTAGAAAAAGAGGCATTGGCACTAGTGTTAACACGTAAAAAGTTTGAAGTATACCTCACAGGTAATATAGTGGCAGTGTACACAGACCATAACCCACTATTGTTCTTAAACCAAATGAAGGCGAAAAATAAATGCATCCTCAGGTGGGCATTGTGCCTACAGGACTTCAATCTTTCCATTACCCACCTACCGGGCCGGCTCAACGTGATAGCCGACGCTCTGTCCCGGTTACCTGAGTAGCATTCATCTGACCCACAGGGAGCCATATACCAACTGTCATGCTTTAGTAATTTTTTTTAGGTTCTCCTGTGACATTAAATACTCTGTGTCAAATTTATTTACTTCCCCCTTTTTTTTTTGTACGTGTTTTTTCTTTTGAAGAATTCCTTTGTGTGTGCTTTTTCTTTCAGAAAATTTATCTTTGTGTGCTTTTCCATTCAGAGAATTCCTTTGTGCTTTTTCTTACAGAGAAACTTTTGTTTTTCTTTGATTTTCATTTATTGCATAGTTTTCCTTTTTATTCTCTGTATTCTCTTACAAAAAAATATGACTATAATTCTAGTAGCCACATTTTTTTTTCTCTCTCTGAAGGGGGGAAGGAGTGTTACGACCCTGGGTTCCTCAGATGGAAACCAGAGGTCAATTTGAACTATAAATATTTTACTTTACATTATTTGATGCTCTTGCTGATGCGTGGTTGTTCCTATCTTCCTTGCCAAACGTAAGACGAATCTTGTTTCTCACAGAGCATTAAAAGACTGAGCTTGTTGTTGATTATTAATGATTAAACTAGGTATCAACTATGTTTACAAATGATTAGAAAGTATTAGTAAAGTAGGTCTGAGTAAACTTGGATTGAGGGCGGCTGTACGATTAGCTGAGTATTCGGCCGGCAGCGATTCAGCTGGAGAGAGCTCAGACTGCAGGCTCGTGTTCTTCTCTGTTCTGGCTGTGTAGTGTCAAGGTCTTCCTGTGGGGCTCTGCCTTGATTCTCCTCCTCCTTCTCCCTTCTCTTACCTTAAGCTATTTTACTAAGATAAGTACCAAACCTTGTGTGCCATGCTAACTGCTAGGCTTGTAAGACTTGTGTAGATATTGTGTAGTATAAGCCAATGTTTTGGGCATCCCTAAGTGTTGTGTTGTGATAGGGTCCCACATGGTACTCACTACGACAAGCTGCTTCAAGCTTTAGAGTTCTTTACCAGTTAACTTTAGCCTAGCTTGTCCTAATTGTAAAACCTTGTATCCTGCTTGTGTGGACCAAGGCTTTTAACGTAAGATAGTGTGGTAAAATAGTTACTGTTATTGTTGTTAATGTATAATGGGGTTGTTAAGAGGGGTTAATAAATAAGTTAGTTTTAAAGGAGTATCCTTTCTTCCTGTAGAGTGGAACAGTGATCAGCCGCTAGATGGACATATTAAACTTAAAGCCAGATATTGAATATTGTTTATGTTTTTATTGGGGGCCAGGCCTATCTGATCTCCACTAAATTTGATACTTCCTGATTCTAGCTGTTGGCCCTTATCATTAATACTCTATATCCCTCATAACAGCAACTAAACTCATAACAGTGGTATACAAGATTCTAAATGATTCCTTATACAGGTTCCTAAAAGCTGTTCTGATGTTAGCCAGCCTCGCATATGCCGCAGACTTAATTATTTTTATGTGGGCTTCAGGAGGCAGGTTTGGTGTGATACCAACTCCTAGATCTTTCTCTCCTAGTACTCCTTTCTCTCGAAGGCCTCCAAGTATTTCGTTTCATGAAGTACTTCATCTCCTATTCTGTATCCTGTGTCTGGCATTATGTTTCCACCGCCTAGTTTTATTACTTTGCATTTACTCGGGTTGAACTTTAGCAGCCATTTGTTGGACCATTCATTCAATCTGTCTAGGTCAACTTGTAGCCTCCTGCTATCGTCCTCTGTTTCAATACTCCTCATAATTTTTGCATCATCAGCAAACAGTGAGAGAAACGAGTCAATACCCACTGGGAGATCGTTTACATATATCACAAACAGTATAGATTCAATGATTGATCTCTGCCGGACTCCACTGGTGACGTCTCGCCAATCTAAGACCTCACTCCTTACAGTGACTCACTGTTTTCTGTCGCTTAGGTACTCCTTTATCCAATGGATTACCTTTCCTTCACTCCTGCTTGCATCTCCAGGTTTTTCACTAGCCTCTTGTGTGGCACTGTAGCAAAGGCTTTCGGGCAATCCAAAAATATGCAGTCTGCCCACCCTTCTCTTTCTTGCCTTATTTTTGTTGCCTGGTCGTAGAAACTATGCATACCACTGCTGGGTATTTTTCATATATTAACATTGAGTCTTTACAATGTCTTCGTATTTACCTTGAGAACTTGTCTGGGAAGAGCGGGAGGCTGGAGGTGAGAGCGAGGCCTCGCTGGGGCGTCCAGGAGGCCACCTTCAGCGCCTGGGCGCCCAGGGGACTGTACGGCACCTGCAGGTACACCCCGCACCTGTATGATGATAATAACTGGTCAGTAAGCATCACTCAACACAAATGTTATTGACTCCTGTTATTATATTATAAATAATCTGCAATAAAACTTCACTGTCCATATACTTAATCCGGAGATTCAATATAAATTAACTTATATGATGCATGACAAGTAAAAGTACCTGATGCTGTCTAGTGATTCTTCATATATGATCAACATGGAGTTGGTGTTGGAGAGGAGCGTGTGGAGGTGGTGCAGGTGGTGGAAGGGGAGGCGGGTGACGACTAGGAGCCTCGTCGACCACACCAGGAGGCTGCCCTTGAGGGACCACTGGGCGAAGGTGGCGAGGAAGGTGAGGTCGTCGCTCACCACCACCACAGTCACGCACCACGACACCTGCCACAGCTGTGGACGACAACATGGTACACGTTATGTGACAGTGACCCACCACCACCGTCACGCACCACGACACCTGCCGCAGTAATGTGAGAGTGACCTACCTGCATCAGCAGTAATGTGAGAGTGACCTACCAGCATCAGCAGTAATGTGAGAGTGACCTACCAGCATCAGCAGTAATGTGAGAGTGACCTACCAGCATCAGCAGTAATGTGAGAGTGACCTACCAGCATCAGCAGTAATGTGAGAGTGACCTACCAGCATCAGCAGTAATGTGAGAGTGACCTACCACCATCAGCAGTAATGTGAGAGTGACCTACCAGCATCAGCAGTAATGTGAGAGTGACCTACCAGCATCAGCAGTAATGTGAGAGTGACCTACCAGCATCAGCAGTAATGTGAGAGTGACCTACCACCGTCAGCAGTAATGTGAGAGTGACCTACCAGCATCAGCAGTAATGTGAGAGTGACCTACCACCGTCAGCAGTAATGTGAGAGTGAACTACCAGCATCAGCAGTAATGTGAGAGTGACCTACCACCATCAGCAGTAATGTGAGAGTGACCTACCACCATCAGCAGTAATGTGAGAGTGACCTACCAGCATCAGCAGTAATGTGAGAGTGACCTACCAGCATCAGCAGTAATGTGAGAGTGACCTACCAGCATCAGCAGTAATGTGAGAGTGAACTACCACCATCAGCAGTAATGTGAGAGTGAACTACCCACAACAGGAGCAAGAGAACAGCGTTATAACATCAACAATGTTATGAAAGCCACCAACCTTGCGAGCCAAAGAAAACACCTGCTGGAGTGTAACGTTACCATCCATCACGTCCGCTGCTGCCGTAAAGACGCCCATACCTCCCGGGACCCGAAACACCTTCATTATCTGCAAGAAATTAACATAAATAATGAACGTTCTGTTGAAATTGTCACATTGGTGCCCAAGTATTTACAAAACATTATATTTTAAATATCAGGCAAGTTTATTGTTACTTGCTGGCCGGGCTTACAGCGATAGTTGATGGGTCGGAGGAGGCAGCGTCTGTGATGAAGAACACAGAGCAGCGGGGACGGTGCTCTGGTGACAACACATCATCCAACACCCCAGCCATTGTTCTTGCTGAGGCATGTTTATCTGTGGATGGGTGAGCATCATCTGCTATACACTCACATTAAGCAGTAAACTGCAGTATATATGAATCTGTAGAACTCTAGAAGCCTAGTTTTAATTGTTACATTTTTAAGATTGTTGTTTAATTAAATATTACCAGTGCCGATTATCGATCAGTTGTAAATGAGTGATATTAATATATAAATAACATTTTATTATGTTAATCTAAAATACAAGGCAAATAATGTATCGGCAAAGTGGTAATTTAATACAAATATCTCCAAAATGAAACAGCAATTGTAGAACAATGAAGATAATAATAATATTAATGATTGCTGGTATAATACTAGTACTACTACTTCAATTAATAATAATAATTAAATTATTATTATTAATTGTTAATATTATTAATTAATAATATTAAATTAATATTAATTAATTAATTAATAATTAATTAATTGTTAATATTATTAATAATAATAATAATAATAATAATAATAATAATAATAATGACAATATAATAATAATAATATTGACAATAATAATAATAATAAGATAAAAACCACACATATGATTTTTATGTATTTTACGTAAAAATTTACAAGTCTTTCATACTCTCCTGAGTGCTTTGTCAAGGTCTTAGTGTGTGGTTAGGACCAGACTTACATCTCAACAGCTAATGGATTAGTCGTTGAGATGTGAGTCTCGTCCTAACCTCACACTCAGATCTTGACAAAGCACTCAGGAGAGTATGAAAGACTTGTAGATTTTTACATAAAATACACAAATACATAAGTGTGTTTTTTTTATTGTATTTGATTATGTCTGTGAGAAGACATTACCATTACTTACTAATAATAATAATAATAATACACACAGAAATCCCCTAACGTGATATATGTAATTGAAACATCCATTGCGGCTGTAAGGTGACGCGAACCTTCGACCAAGACATCGCCAGCGGCATACTCTACCATTCTATCACCACTGACTTGCGACAAGTCATTCTATCAGATTTCTACTGAAATCACAGGAAGTCTGGAGGCCCCTCCTGAAGTCAGTCCAAGGTTTTACGCGTGACCCACAAGCACTCGGGAGAAAGACAAAGTAGTTTTTACACCGAACACTCCGATTTAGGATTAAAATTAAGATACACATACACACAGAATTCACATAAACGTGAAAATCAATGAAAAAAAGGGTATGCAGCTGGCAAGGCCTTGGTCACAGGTTTGCGTCGCCTCAGAGCCCTAGAGTATTTTTTCAATGAAAATAATATTACAAATAATAAAATTAATAATAATAATATTATTATTATTATTACTATTATTTATTTGTTTATAAAAATAAAATTTTTATTTTCAGATATGATATCCTGGAAGGCTGAAATATGTCATAACAAAAATAATCTCATATGATGCTTTCCTTTTTTTCCTCTCTTTTGCACAATAAAATAAGCAAATTTTTTTATTCAAGACTTGTTAGGTGTCATTCTCACTCGAACAATCAACTCTGTTCTCTATAAATTACAGTCTACCGCCGATGTATATTCTTTACACAATGTCTGCAAATGGAATAGCAAAGATGTAGCATCAGAATGCCATTACTTTTTGGTAGATCAGAGCTTTAGTACTTTTAATGCAAAGTGACTACGTTATTCACAACAACTGCATTATCTGCTTGTAAGTTTCTGTCCCAGCTGTGTCGTTGTTACATTTTAACTACTTACATAAAATCTTATCCGTATTTCCTTACCATTATAGAGAGGCAAATGTAAGACTCTCTCAGAGACGCAAGTAGTGAGCAGCAGCAACAGTGGCAGCGGCAGTAATATTACATCCATTTCTGTCTGGGTAACATATTTAATTGATAAAAAATGAAGACATATATTTACAAAAATAATTCTATATGACATTGAACAAACCCTGAAAACAAACATTTTGTGAATATGATTCGGAGAGAAACTTTCAGTTTTAATCCATATATATATGGAAACTTGTATTAGTGGGTTATCAATCTTTATATTCTCATTCCACCTTTTGAAATAGAGCAAAAAGAATGAAGTGGAACATGATTGTGAGGGATACTCTCTTCCTTATGGTTGCTTATTGCTTCAACCTGCAATTGCATGCAACAGCACCACCGCCAGTGGTGGTCACCCTACAAGAGGTCACTTTGGAGAATATCATAACAAACACCTCCCGGGAAGAGAGCAGACGCCGAGGTCCCTGTAGCTGAGGAGGAGAGGACATGGCCCCCGGTGGACACACCACAGGTAATGGTCCTAGGTGGACACACCAGAGGTAATGGTCCCAGGTGGACACACCAGAGGTAATGGCCCCCGGTGGACACACCACAGGTAATGGTCCTAGGTGGACACACCACAGGTAATGGTCCCAGGTGGACACACCAGAGGTAATGGTCCCAGGTGGACACACCAGAGGTAATGGTCCCAGGTGGACACACCAGAGGTAATGGTCCCAGGTGGACACACCAGAGGTAATGGTCCCAGGTGGACACACCAGAGGTAATGGTCCCAGGTGGACACACCAGAGGTAATGGTCCCAGGTGGACACACCAGAGGTAATGGTCCCAGGTGGACACACCAGAGGTAATGGTCCCAGGTGGACACACCAGAGGTAATGGTCCCAGGTGGACACACCAGAGGTAATGGTCCCAGGTGGACACACCAGAGGTAATGGTCCTAGGTGGACACACCAGAGGTAATGGTCCCAGGTGGACATACCAGAGGTAATGGTCCCAGGTGGACACACCAGAGGTAATGGTCCCAGGTGGACACACCAGAGGTAATGGTCCTAGGTGGACACACCAGAGGTAATGGTCCTAGGTGGACACACCAGAGGTAATGGTCCCGGTGAACACACCAGAGCTAATGGTGCCAGGTAGACAGACCAGAGGTAATGGTCCCCGTGGACACACCAGAGGTAATGATCCCATGTGGACACACCAGAGGTAATGGTCCCGGTGGACACACCAGAGGTAATGGTCCCGGTGGACACACCAGAGGTAATGGTCCCAGGTGGACACACCAGAGGTAATGGTCCCGGTGGACACACCAGAGGTAATGGTCCCGGTTGACACACCAGAGGTAATGGTCCCGGTGGACACACCAGAGGTAATGGTCCCAGGTGGACACACCAGAGGTAATGGTCCCGGTGGACACACCAGAGGTAATGGTCCCGGTGGACACACCAGAGGTAATGGTCCCAGGTGGACACACCAGAGGTAATGGTCCCGGTGGACACACCAGAGGTAATGGTCCCGGTGGACACACCAGAGGTAAGCCTCTGGACAGCCTTCGCCACGACGAACATATACCGACCTCCCGTCACTAGGCCGCTAGTTCCTCAACTGCATATAAAATTCTAGAAGGAGCCTAATGGGTCCTCACACCAAATTTAAATTCAGTAATTAAGGCTTTATGGTCTTGATAATCTGAGCTAACCCAATTAACATGAGTAGCAAATAATAATTGACATGTGTTATGATCTCAGCCTACAGGAGAAACGAGTCTCCCTCCTTGAGAGTTATTCAGCAAGCCTGACCTAACTAGAAGGTCTAGCGAATATTGAGGTGATAACGCATATGTAAAATAGTTGCTTGGATATGTGTAACAGTTTGAGATTATGGGCAATGAAGAAGAAAACAGATAAATGACTGGCTAGGAGATGTGGACATTTTGCTGGAGGCGTGAGGCTCGCTTCCGGAGGACCTTGACCTCACTTGAGTGCCAGACATCGCAGGGGGAAGCCGCGCTCCGTTGAGCTCCCGCCAGAAGGGAACCCCTAGTGATATATCTCGAAGAGGAGAGAAGTGTGCGGACGTGCCAGCTGTGGAATCGAGCTGGGAACGTTGTGGTCTCAAGTCCTGGTCGACGAGCAGAT